GCTCATAATGAAATCCCGTAACCACTCAGTCAAATCCCGACAAACCAATACTTGAATATCAATGAGATGCTCACTAGCAACTGGCCCTATTCAGTTAGGTAGTTACCTGGGGTTCTAGTAGGAAGTCATGACCAGTAGGGTAGAGCAAGTCGGGCAGGAGTGCAGATACTTGCCAGCGATGACACTGGCTAGTGGTCACGCTATTTCAGGAACTGGAAGAAGTTGCAATTGATGGGTTGGTCATTGGATCGGGTCGCAGTGGCCTAATGGTCTATGAGCCTTGTGACCAGAAGGTCCTTAGTTCGAGTGCAGGTTGGTGGGTGCGTACTGATGAAGAGTCCGAAACCAGGCTGACGAAATGGCTGGCTTTCCAGTACTTTCAGCTGGTTTTTCAATGGTTCTCTAACCTATATCAGTTTATGATCAAATCCTGTAACCAGTTTCACCCCTTTGTTGGCATTTGGTGCTTGTTGTTGGTTGGCTGGTTTTCTTCGTCACCTCTGTCTTCTATATTTGCACCTAAAGTTCAGTCTTAGTTGTGGCTCAGGTGGATGATTTTAACGTTGTCGTGTTTCCTAATTTGAAAAGTTTGATTACAAAACTTTAACTATCCTCCCAGATAACCTTTCCAGTACTAACTTCAGGATGACTTCACAATGTACTAAGTGCTGTTAACCCTCTTCGACAGTTAGTAGTTGAAAAACCGCGGTAAAATCAGATGCGCCCTTTTAACCTCCAGATATTCCCCTGTGTTTTTTGTCTAAACTTAGCACTGTATGTTTGAAAAAAACCCACTTGTGTTACTACAGCTGTGACTTAAGTTTATTATGAAATGTGAAGTTTAAAATAGTCACAACATATAGTTCTCGACATGCCTGAATAGTTTTGATGCTGGAATTTTGATGATATTAATCGGCTTCTCATTTGAACCTGTGAGTCATGGTATTAAGTCACGGAGTTTTCCTGTAGTTCAAGTCTACTTGGCTCTATTAACTTTGTCTTCCATTCGTCGGATTAGATTAGTTTGTGGAGTATGCTACGAAATACTATGCACTGAGATGTTATGTGACATGATGACTTCAGTCTTCAGTTGACAGTGTGCTCTTTGCTTTCTTCTTGAAAAAAACATTTAATGTGGTTGCAGTTGATAGTAAAATGTTTAGCAGGATATGATATACTACTGATTTATTGGTGTTAGTAGTTAAAAACCACTCAAGACAAATAGAAGTGCTTGATGGTGCGATCGAAGTGATTTAAACACCTGACGGCTGTTTGGCTAGTTTTCGACCGAGCCCATAGAGCAAAGAAGAACTAGATGCATAGCCAATATGCCAATAAGTATATGGTCATTTATCTTCAGTGTGAAGATGGCGCTGAATGTTAGCATGCAATGAAATTTTCATAATTAAACCATTCAAAACAGAAGTTGAAACTTGCTTGATGTTCTCTGATCTTTTCTATTTGACCGAAACTATTTCATCAACAAGCTTGTTAGTAATAGCTTCAACAACTAGTTTCACTAATGGGACATCAAGCAATTTTGGATTGAAGGATTCGCACCATGAGCTGACATCGGTTGGAGGACCAATGGAAAACCATCTGGGAGTATTAGACAGCCGTTTCGTCCCATTTGGGGACTCTTCACAGTACGCCTACGCTGATTGGTGTTTGAACCCAGAACACTCTGGTTAAAAGGCTAGCGAGCCCATAGGCTACTAAGCGACCAGTGACTGGCTCTATTCAGGTAGATATTTTTCTTGGGTTCTAGTGTAAAGTCGTGACCAGTGGGATACAGCAGGTTGGGGATGAAGACTGTTACTCTATGAAGAAGGTGTTGCGAAGCGGTCGCGCCATGTCAGAAATTGGTAGAAGTTGGAATTCATGGGTCAGCCACTGGATTGGGTCTCAGTGGCTTAATGGTATACGAGCTCGCTTTGTAAACCGGAAGGTCCTGGGTTCGAATCCCGGTGGGTGCGTACTGATGAAGAGTCCCAAACTAGGACGAAACAGCTGTTCAGTACTCCCAGGTTTTCTAATGGTTCTCTAACTAATGTCAGCTCATGATGAAAATCCTTTAAAACGACGTTGATTGACAGAAAAATAAGAATTTGTGAAAAGTATTCATATTCTGTTTGTTTCGTCTTCATTTAATACTTTCCTTAAAATTCTGCACATTAATCTTTACTTCTTTATGTAAGTGTAGAACTTGGGAACTGTGGTAGTAGAATGTAATTCCACATTAGATAAGTTTATTTTAATAATCATACAGTGATGCAGTATTAACAACTGGATGACAAGGTTGATTTTGAGCGTAAATTACCGCTCATGATCATATCAGTTTAGTCACATAACCTTACCACATGTCCCTCTTTTCCTTGTTGTTTGTTGCCACTTTCCGTAGAATTTTCAATGAGGCTGGAATTAGGGTAGGTGACATTTAAACCAACCACCTCTCTCAGAGATCAACTTTGTCGGCTTAAGGATCAAATAGATCCAATTAAGAGAAATAATGTAATATACCAAATACCAATTAATGACTTTGAGGTCAATTACATATGTTGAACTAGTTAGGTTTGGGTCAGTTAGATTATCGGAGCATGAAAATTTAGGTAGACCTAGAATAATTGACCCTGATAAGCTAATTAACCTATAAAAAGCAGAGCTTAGCCATTGCACTGCGTTCACTTCTTTGTAATCACAAAATAGGTTGCGTGGGACAATGTGAGTGTGTTAAAGAGTAATATAGTTAGATGGAGACAGAGAGGTTAGTCACTGAAACTTTGTTTATCTATTCAACACCGCACAACACGTGCAACGTCTAAACCGGAGGTAGGGAAAGTGGCAGTAGACAAAAAAGGGAAGTCGGAGAGACAGAATGGAGAGAAATATACACATTATTATTATTATTGTTTCCTTTAATTCCTAGAGGAACACAGGGCTTCAGCCACCCGTTTCCATTGCGTTCGGTTCTCTGCTAGAATCTTCACCTGGCTCCAAGTCTGCCCACATGCTTTCATCTCCTCTTAACATGACCTCCTCCAAGTCACCCTTGCACTGACGACCAACTCGCCGCTTCCCTCTCGGGTTCCACTCGAGCAATGGCTTGTCTAGTGATGTCACTTGATGGTTTCCTCAGAGTATGGCCAGCCAATCCATCTCCATTTCTTCCTGCCTATTTGTTTCACAATCGGTTCCTGCTGTGTTGGTTCGCTCCCAGAGATCTCTGTTGCTGATCTTTTCTGGCCGGCCATCTGATCTTGAGTATTGAGCGAAGACAACTGTTAATGAAGGTCTGTAGTTTGTTTGAGATGCCCTTTATGACGCTCTGGCCAAGTCTCTGCTCCATGCGTTTAGTAGCACTGACTTCACATTGGAGTTGAAAATCCGGATCTTATTTTTGATGCTGAGTGTTGTTGACCTCCAGACGGACTTGAGAGTAGTGAAAGTTTGTCTTGCTTTTCTGATTCTTGCTTTGATATCCTTGTCAGTTACGTCCGCCTGTAGTTGAAACGATGCTTCCCAGGCGGGTAGGTAAAAGAGGTTGTTTGCTACAGGCTCCTCCCATTTATGCTGATCGTTGTCTGTTGTTGTTGTTGTTGCTGTTGGTGGTGTTGCCAAGGAATCTTCATCACCTCTGTTTTCTCTATGTTCACCTGGAGTCCTATCTTTGATGCTTCTTCTGTCAACTTGTTGCTTTTCGCTTGCATATCTTCCAGTTTGTGGGAAATCAGACATATATCATCGACAAATTGTGAAACCGTATAACTAAATTGATATGATTATGAGTGGCAATAATTTATGCTCTCAACGTCATCCAGTTGTTAATACTGAATCGCTGTATGATATTTAAAATAGACTTGTCTAATATGGAATCTTTACTTTCCCTTTATAAAACTCAGACTGCTTTATTCAAGTTGCTTTCAGAAATCATTGGACACAGTGTACATATTATAAATTCATGTTAGTTACACATGATACAGTATATGATAAGTCACACTTATACAAAAACAAACATGTGACTTTGTCAGTTAACTCAGTAATATTAACCTGTCACTCAAAATCTTGGGAATCAGTGTACATGAAGAAATTAATCTACCAATTTCGGGATCATCAGGCGATGGTCAACTGTGAAAGCAACCGTTAAGTGAATTTCACATATTATCTTCTATCGTGAGACAGATTTGGTGAAACCAGTGTGCGATAAATACGAGGCTTCTAAGTAGAGTTTTTGGTATGACAGTTGAATCAATTGATGAAGCTGCAGTTCTATGCAAAATGAGCGTCATGGTGTTGTACTCACCTAACTTCCACTTACCTAAGCTTGATGTGGTTGTTGAAAGATGGCTAAGAGGTGAACAGCAAAGGATAGTTAATCAAAAAAGACTCGAACCCAACACCCTCAGTTTCGAACTACACTATCCAGTGGAGGATTGAAGCTACATCAAACTTATGAGACACAAAATAGGACGAAATGTGCGTCATGTATTCCATATAACATATTGTGTGTCTCAGAGTATCATCGAAGCCTCCATACTACTGAGTGAATACTTCAAAATAGACTGAGAATTTCGGTATAATGTCATCATATAACTTTGTAAAATACTTGGGTTAATTTTGAGTAAATTTTATATTGATTCAGTTAGTTTTGGGATTAAAATGTCCAACGACACTGATGCCATCTATACTTTAGATAGTTTCAGCTCATTTGTTTATCATTTAAATATGAGCAATCTCCACTGATGGTCTTCTAGTTCATGGTTTTGACTGTTATTCTTTGGCGTTCTTATCTTATCTGTTAGTAGACAGCATAAGCATTTATTAAAAACGTTTAACAAGATGTGGCCGCCATTGCTTCTGCGCTTAAAATAATAGGCTTTGAGCAATAGTTATCGCACACAGACGTACAGTTACATCACACTGAGAAATCATGGATGGGAGGACACATCCGTGCTGTCCACTACCACTACTATCTACCTATCAAGGAAACATCACTTGTCAAGATGGAAAGCAGAGATGAGGAGACAACTCTGGTATGTCAACAGATACTAGTAAGCTTTGACTGGAGTATAGTAAATAGCACTGGTACTCTATATAGTGGAGGTGGTTACCGACCATGTCAATATGAGCTATTACCTATCAAATAATATATGTGATTTTAGTCCATGGCACAACGGTTAGGACGCTCGCCGGCCATGCACATAGTCCGTGGTTCATTCCCCTACCGACTCACACCTGATATCAATGGTCGGCCTGCGAAATTTGGGCCACTGATATCACATGCTAAAAATTCCATACTTGTAGCAAAACAAAGGTATGGAATCAAGCTATAATCAAAATAAAGATAAATTTAAAAAATAAACTTTTTTTCAAGAGTTGTTGTGTAAGCATTAGATTTGCTTTTCGAGTGTAACCGCAGACTGATATCACAATTAGAGAACCATTGAGAACCAGTACCGGAGTACTCGGACAGTTGTTTCATCCTAGTTTTGAAATCATCAACAGTACGCACCCACTGGGGTTCAAACCCAAAAAAACTAGGATCAAACTGCTGTATATGTATATAAATTCGTGAACTCATTAGGCCTATTTCACATAATCTTCTTATGCAACAAACTACAATACCGTACATATTATCAGACAAAATATTTGTGTTCTTTTACTGATTTTTTTTCAAGATCCAATCTCAATCCATCCATCTACACAGAACTACTGAAGGTATTGAATATCATTGGAATAGTAAGTTTACGGTAGTGAATGTCTAACGTTTTCCGCTGACATAAATTTACATATATATATATATTTACACTGGGAAAACGTCTGTCCGGATAGGAACTTAAAACAAGCGACAATTATTCCAGTTACGGTTGAACTCCTCCTCAGATGAGTACTTCACACATATTAATATATGTATACTGTTAGAAATACGTTTGGAGAAACATCACCTAGTAAAGTAAATAAAGTACATTGAATCCATCATGTAAAAAAAGAGGTGTGAATGTTTTTCAGGTTATATTCAGATAGAAAAGTGGTTGAGGGTATGACAGGTTCAGTTACATCACTTGAATAAACGATGAGTTATCAGAGATATCAATATAGCAAAAATATTCATCCAGACATCTATAAAACACAAAATAATTGAGCAAAGAATAACCTTTTCGATAAATTCCTCTTCTGGCTCTACAATTATATATATATATTTATTTACATAGAATATTCTAGATTAAGTAGTTAATAACAATATTAGTGTCTTTTAAATAATATCGATTTGTAAAGGAAGATCACAATGGAATTATTACAGTTCATTAGAGATGCTAAAATAATAATAATAATATAGTAGCAAATAGAATATCAACTAAAATTAGGGAAATTTCACAAAAATTCAGGATCATTCAAACCTGGATGACTGAACCAACTTCTTTTGGATACATAAATAAGGCTTGCTAATATGGATCCCCACAGCCAGCTCAGCAATATTTAGTAGTCGAACTCTTAAGGCGAAACTGAGATTCCTAGGTTTGCGGTAAATAACCCTGAAAGCATGATTAACGTCAGTCTTGTGTTCTGCATCCACAAAATGAGATGTAATAGCGCTATGAATGGATTTTGTTTGTCCTTTACTTAACCAGGCAGGGTGATGTTCGGAAATTCGACGCGAACTTAACAATATTAAATGGTTGCTAAGTGAGAATGGTTATCCTGAAAAGTTTATTGATAAGAATATGAATCTGAAACCAAAGCAGCCCAAGTTACCAACAGTTCCAAAAAAGACCTTATTCTTATAGACACAGTTCCTAGGAGACAACACCAGTGAGATACTAACACAGCGCCTTAGAAATGCGGTAAAGCCAAGAGCATTCCTTGCTGTCGAATTAAGCTGTTTCTTAAAACCACTCCTCTTCAGCTTTCGGGAATAAAAGACAAACTGCCTAATTTCGCCTCTTCCATGTGTATATACCAATTTAACTGCTCCTGTGGAGCCATTTACATGGGCCGAACAATTAGGCGTGTTTCTCGTCGAATTTCCGAACATCACCCTGCCTGGTTGGTTAAGCAAAGGACAAACAAAATCTATTCTCAGCGCTATTCTGTCTCATCTTGTGGAGACAGAACACAAGATTGATGTTAACGGGTTGACTTTCAGAGTCATTTACCGCATACCTACGAATCTCAATTTCACTTTAAGAGTTCGACTACTAAATATTGCTGAGCTGGCTGTGGGGATCCATATTAAGAAGCCTTATTTGTGCGTCCAAAAGAAGTTAGTTCTGACATTATCCTTACCTTGGTCATCTAGGTTTGAATGATCCTGAATTTTTGTGAAATTTCCTTAATTTTAGTTGATATTCTATTTGCTACTATAATTTTATTATTATTATTATTCAGCGAAGAAAATTTTCTTTATCGACGAGATCATCTTCAGAGGCTGTACAATCGTATTTATTCTTACAAAAATATAAAGTGGTCTATTATTGAGTAATAGGGGGTGACATAATTGATATAATTACTCAGAAGTCGCTTTAGAAGTGAAAATTTAAAGTTGTAAATTACGTGGTACTCAACGGCACAAAGATAGAAATTTGATAAGGTTAAAATTGCTATTAAGTGAGAATAAAGGTATTTGAGTGTCAATTCAACAAGTGTGAAGAGGGTGTGAAAATATACAAAAGGAGCATATGAGAGTGATAATAGTGAATTAATTATTAAAGCAAAAGCTAACTAAAAGTGAAATTAGAATGAAAGGAAAAAAAAATCAAAATATATTTTATTTATAAGGAACGATTAGGGAAGAGGTTAAGACCAAGGTAGAATAAGAGACTGGACAAAATTTTCTGTATACAGAGTTCAGCTTTGTATTGATGAATTGCTAGAGCCTCCGCCATACACAAAAGCCGAAACCTGACGCCCTTTGTACCATTTGGCTTCACTTTGTAGATGATCTTGAAAGACGATTCAAACAAATAAAGGGAACAGACTGTAAGAAACATAAAGGAAGGTGAAATAAGCAGGCTGAGTGATGTAACACAACTGACAGGAATAAGCAGAACTCAACTTAAATTGAAAAAAGGTCAAATTAGGATCACTGTCATAAGGGGTAGAAATGCCATGATGGAAATGGAGAAACAAATAATGAAATTAGGTAATTAAGATTACCAAATTTGTTGATCGAAAAATGAGGCAAATTTTGGCCCACTGTAGGCTCAATAACCGAGCAAACATCTTCAGAGTACTCAGAGTTCAGGATTTAACATGCTGATTATCATAGATTCTGTGGTTTAAAACGCTGTCATTACAAATTCATACGCATTTATGTGACGTGATCTAGCGATTATCTGGCTCGGCCATGAATTCTAGACCAGTAGTAGAAGACGGTGTGTTGTTTTCTGATAAGGAACTCCTTGATTTTGATAAGCAGTGTCTTATATATTATCAGACTACGAATTTGGCTGGCGTACATTACTGAATAAACATACACTAAGTTAGGTAAATGCCAAACGTCAGAATATTAATGGTTCAGAAGCAGTCGACTTCAAGTTATCCTTGTAGACAGTGTTTATGACGACAGAAAAACCACTCAGATCTGGAACCTTTCAGTATTACGCACAAATTAAAAGTTATGACCACTTTGATCTACCAAGTCCGCTATGATTACAAATACTCTGTGACCACATTGGCGGACGGTAATGTTGTAAAGACAGAAGACAAGGGTCAGGCAACACATCGTTTATTGAGAAAATCAACAGATATTTATAGATTTCTATACAACGTCTTCTGACTGGTTGTGTTCCTGCTGAAGGTTATTCTGTCATCTCTTTGTTGACGTTTCTTAGACAATCTGTTGATATGTCTGATAATCGTATCCACCCACTCTGAGTCTGCTTTAATTGGTTGTTGAAGTAGTCTTTGTTCTTGTTTCTTTTTCTCATGACCAAGATTTCGGACGTAAACATTGACTTAAATTGCTGTCTACCAATTTTGCCTAGCAGACAGCTCTCACCACACTGTTCTATGTTTCAAATCAGCGAAACTTGGAATTTGTGGAGCATGGGGTTCCTTCCCACTGGCTGAATGGGCTACAGCTCACCTTGTAACTTGAAGGTTCTTGGTTTGTTCCTCAGTGCAGTATTGATCAGTTCGTACTGATGAAGAGTCCTAAAGAAGGACGAAGCAACTGTTCACTTAACCCTAGTCTTTCAATGGTTTTCTAATGGAGAGCAGTTCATGATTAAACTTGAAAAATATTTAATGAAAACTATCCATTATATCTGAATTATTTTTCCCTTTGTTGTTCTTTTTGACAAATTTAGATATTCGGTCTGACTTTTACAGTTATTGGCAGTTTATCACTTGTGCCAGATAGTTTAATTATTCATTTTATTGAAAAAATTGGACTCGGTGAATTATTCAAATCCGAGGCAAGAAAGAAAGTTTTTGCCGGTTTCTTAGGATTCGTAAGTAAGTTTTGTTTTTTTATTCTTTTGATTTGCCGTTCTCATCGAAATGGTGTGTTACTGAAGTGGTCAGATGCTTCACTAGATTTAGGTTCATTCTAGTTGATTGTCGATTATTCCAGGATATCTTGGTCTCATTCCCATTGAGACGTTTGATCGGATTTCGTATATGGCTTGGGGTTCATTTCGAATTGAAGTAAAGTGCTGTGGGATCACGTGATGCTCTAAACCACAGCTATAAATGCACTTACTTTCTCCCTCCGTTAGCCCGGTCGGATGGTGTTCCCGTCTTGCAAGTGACTCGTGCTACGGCCAATATCCTCTGCTTCACACGAGCAAGTGATGTAGTATATGACTGCTCATGTGGTCCAATGCAGTAGCTTGTCTTTCACGTGTTGGCTCAAGGATGACAGCGACATTTTGTAGTGAGAGATTTTGAATGCCATTTTCGGAAGATTTCTGCATCAGTACCAATTAGAAAGTCAAGATTCAGTAGGAAATATCTTTTCCAGAGCAGCATAGACCTACTTAGCAGCTTTCTGTGATCTCAGGTCCTTCAAAATCCTGTACAAGATTTGAACTTACCTCCCAAAGAGAGTGAATTGAAGACATAGGCATAGCTAAAAATCATTAGCGATCCGAACATTCAAGCTAACTGGTCTGTTGAGAAACTGGAAAGCATCTGTTATCCACCTTTAGAACTTCTCCGCACGACAGACACAAAATACATTGAGAAGGCGGAACTGATTCTTTCAGAGAAAAGGCTAATAATAGAGAAATTAAATTGTTTATATAATTATTTTAACATTACAAAAGCTACATTTTGATTGGTTTGAAGATTAACCAATAGGAAGTCAATGATGCAACCTTCGTTCGTTCTGGTTTCAAGTTGAATGTTTGGTGCAAAGCTGAAATAAAAAAATTGCATCCAGTCAAAATACGTCTCCTTTTTGGATCAACACTTACTGTCTACACGCATAGCGGATTAAGGTAAACCAAGGTGATCTGAAATACTCGCACTATCAGCACGTCACCTTCCCTTCTGCTTCTAGGTTAATTAAGACTTGGATTAACAGGTGACGTATAGTTATGAGAAACTGAAAATAACGGATCATTTAACCACGTAACAGCTGGAAATTACCTGTAAGGATAACCTGGTAAACAGTTAAGTTTTGTAGCTTATCTGGTTATTCCGATGTAGTTGTTTTCTCTGAGCTGGATGGTTTATTTGCGAAGGTTTCATTGCCTCCTACTAGGCAACATCTTCAGCGCATACTTCAATTTGAAGGAAGTGATCTTTTCGATTTGTCCACGAGTTTATTAGTCATCTCTCCTGATTTAATGGCCTTGAACGTGACTGGTTGATTTTGAATGTTTTCACACAGTCTAGGTTACTTATATTCGTACTGATTGTTTCCTTGACCTGAAGTTTGACCGTTTGTGAGATTTCCACTTTATGGATTTGCAAATTTTGTCTATGTCAATGTGCCTATTGACTGATGATTCACTGGAATATCAGGCTTGTAGTATTCTCTAGAATTCTTAGTGTTTCATATTTAAACGTTGTCCCAGTCGACCGAGATAACTAATAAACTCGTGGGAAAATCGAAAGGACCACCTCCTTCAAATTGAAGTTTGCGTTGAAGATGTTGACTAGTAGGAGGCAATGAAAGCCCCGCAAATAAACTACGTCGAAATCATCCATCTGAGCTACAAATCTTCTCCATCGTATCTTATCCAATTAAATTGTTGGAATAGCGATTCAGAGGCCTCTGGTTTCAATCTGGCGGTAACCAAGATTTCCACTCTGTCTTCATTAATTTCCTATTACGTTAATAACAGTCCGTTAACAGATGCCCAATCCAGTTAAATTCCATCATCAATCGCCATAACCCAGTTCTTATGTCTTTACTTTTTTACATGTCATTTTAAATGCGCATCTTCCATACTAATCCTTTTTCTGTCTTATGACTGTCAGTGTATAGACGTAGAATCTAAGCACCACGGACGCCTAGAATGCCTCGTTAGTTTAGATGGATGACACAGTGAAACAGTACTTGATATCGCATAATGTTTGACATGCTATCCTGAAGTTCACCGTCATATCAGAACAACTTGCAGTAATTTTTAGGCGTCTCTCTTTCATTCTAGAACATTCCAGGATCTATGTCCTTCTAGCAGTTGTTATTATCTCAGATAAGTAATTTACAATTGTCATGGCACAGGTGTGAGTGTATATGTGGCTCAAAGAGTTCGTGCGCCATGAAAAGTATTTCCAGCAGGTTGCAGTATTCTATCAGCAGGTGTCTTCACTGGATACTGAAGATTATTTGGCCAACCAGAAAAGATAAATAACGAGGAAGTGTGACAACGAACCAATCAAGAAATTGTCATTCCATATGTGCGCGGAACATTAAGAACATTTTGATCATACACTTACTTGTCATTAGCATTTATACAGAGGGCATCAGAGCATAAATGATTACAATATAATTCAAATAGTTTACAGGTGATGGTCACAAATCAGAAGTAGGTAGATGACGTAAGAATGTAGGGTAAGAAAAAGGTTACTTTGAACCTGCCTTGATAATCAAGTTTTAGAACCAAAGTTCAATTTACGTAATATTTTTATTTACTTCTATCGTTTTCTTACCCCATATTATCACCGTCAACGGAAGAAATTTGACGGAGGCTACTACCTACACTTATTTAGTAAGCACGGTTTCAACCACAGGCAGACGGAACAGATGAAGGCGTCAAAGCCAGTCAGAATCGGAAAGGCAAGATACACTTTCATCGATCTTAGATCAGTTTGGCAATCTTCCGCACTTGGCATGAAGAACAAGATTGTGATTCTGTCCAACACAAAAGTGAAGTCAGTCAGTTCTTCTATATGAGTCAGAAAGTTGGCACGTGCGTCACAAAAAGCATTTCCAACAGGTGGTAGAATTCTGTCAACAACTGCATTTGCTAGCTCCATATTGAAGATCAAATGGCTGGTCAGAAAGAATTAGCTAAAAAAATAAGCCATGAGAATGAACCAATCTAGAACCCGTTACTCAAGAAATAAGTGGAGGGAAATGGTGGTGGGTTGGGCACACGCTGAAGAGCTCCTCGAGTGACATCACTCACCAGAGCATCCCTCGAATGGAATCCAAATGGGAAACAACGACGGGGTCATTGGTGCGAGGATGACGTGGAGGAGATCGTGTGGTTAGTAGGAGATGAGATAATATGAACAATCGTGCACCTAGGTAAAGATGATGGCGTATAGTCGAGCAAAGTGGGAACGTGTTCCTGATGCCCTGTGCTTCACTCGGCACCCAAGGGAATAATAACATTATATTACTCTTAGATCATCTTCCTACCTCTAATCTGTGACCTCCACCTGTCTTGCGGACTACATTGCAAAACTGAATGGCATAATACAGCCAGCAATAACACTATTTAGGATTAGACACACGAAACTTATGACCAACCACTATAGTTATATTTTCTCCAAGTTTGTACAAGATATTAAGTTGTTTTTCATGTCCTACAAGAGATCAGCCGAGTCAGTTTAAAAAATTCCTGTCTAAATTTACACATTAACTCCTCTCACTGAAGCACTGTGTGACGTGAATTTCAATTTATGCAGGAACACAAGCTACTTGAAACTTGCGAATACGCCATTTTCGACAGGTGCTATTTAGCACGAAATCAATGTCCACAGTTAACTGCCGACTGCCTCCAATCATTCAAAAAGTGTACCGCGTAGATAGAACTCCTGGACTGTTGACTTTAGTGAAAACTGAATGATGGAATTCATACATACGGAAAGTTTCACTTCCTCGACATCGCCATGGAACGCCTAGAAGACGGTAGTCTTCAAAAGTCAAATTATCGAAAGTCTACATGGAAAGGAATATACATACATTTTAATCGCTTTTGTCCAAATAGCTTTAAACGTGGTCTAGTCAAGACTCTGTGCTATAGAGCGAGGAGAATATGCTCTAGAGAGAAATTAGAGGAAGAATTTGAGTTTCTTGAAAAGATATTGAAGAGCAGTGGGTACCCTCAAAGGTTCATCAACAAGCATGGAAGATCTGATGTCACAAATGTAAAACAAATCACAGTGGGTAAAAAGCCAATCTACATTCAGCTTGATTATTAAGGTGAAAAAATTGCAGCGATGATCAATAGAAGACTGAGCACATCACTAGCCAGAGCCTATCCTTCAGCTAAGCTCGTTCCTGCCTATCGAACAACTTGCTCTTTGATGCAATCAAAAATCGATAGATATCTTTCTCATGTTAACTCCAACTGTATATACAAATTTACATGTATCTGCGGGAGCAGTTACATTGGAGGAACAGAAAGGAGGGCATATCTATGATTTTCTGAACATGTACCAAAATGTTTACGTCTAAAGGGAACAAATGCTTTAAACAGTGCCATCACCAGGCATCTCCTCGACATGGGTCATGAGGTGGACGTAGAAAAGTCATTCAAAATTACCAATAAGCGAAAGAGCTCGATTCTCCTGAAGTTTGCTGAAGCCATTTCCATCAAGCGCCTGAAACCTGACTAATGCGTTCAGAAAGAATCGGCTATCAGTCTTTCTTTGCCCTGGTAACTGGATATTTTTCATCCAAATGCGAGATACTGAAAAGTTTTCATTTTGTTTGATTATTATTGTTTAGAATAGTGTTTAATATTGCATATATATATATGTATATATTATTAGTGTATGTGTATATTGATCGATTGATTTTTCTTTAAAATGAACTCTGTTCAAGTATGTTAAAGTTGTTTCTGTAGATACATTCAATAATGTCTTTGCCCTGTAAGCAGCTGACGAGAAGGCAACGAAATAAAAGATGGTACCATTTTATTCCGCTAAAACTTTAGTTCTTGCTTTGATGGAATTTAGTTAGCGTTAACGCTACTTTTACGACTAGACAAACCATATTGATTTCTCCTTACTGACTTCTCAGTCTAAATGAAACCATTTAAAAGCT